GTAAGTCTTGAGCCACTTTCAGGTTCAGAGGATTGATGCCACAATGTGGGTTTTTTCCATTGATAATGAGTTTCAAAAAAAAACCTGTTGTCTGGCAAATCCAGTCGATGCTTTTCCGTACATCGGCGAAGTACATCCACTCGACTGAAATATGTTGGTCATATATTTGTAATTTTATGATAAGTTTATATGAGAGATTGATTCTCCATAAGATTACGCGGCCCAGGCAACGAGCCTGCCTATTGGAGACTGCAAGACGACCCATTTCTGACTCTGGTGCAAAAGGCACACGTCTAAGTCTTCGCTTTCTTCATATCCTTCATGTAATTTCCATTATAGCTTGACAGTAGCCTTCATGTAACTTCAGTGACGTGGGCCAAGGACGATAAATAATAGAGTGACAGTTAATCTCGGCACTGTGGCTTTCAGACAGCTCTACACAGAAGGCTATACCGTCACTACTGGTGTATACTACCTGTTCCCCAACCACAAATTGATGGTAGCTTACGACTATAGAGGGCAATCACTGCTCATCACAGTGAGGCCCCGTGTTGCCGTAATATTGTGCAATGCTCCGTTATGAAAACTGACACGGGTCCAAGGGATTGATCAACGGCGAGGACTTTATCCTCGCCTTCACTATTGAACTAATACTCGATTCGAAGGAGCTGTATTCGAGGTGTCGTTTAGAAGTACAGCATCCGCTGACATAGTTCTTCACATTAGGTAATCCATTCATTAAGAGGTAATAAAACTTTTGGTCCGCCCTGGCAAAGAAGGGTTGCTCACAAGGGAAGATGGTAGGGCATTCGAAATGGGACGTATACAGACCGAAGGGTCTTCGAACGAAGATTACGAAACCACCTTCCATATCTGCTGCGGACATCTTAGAAAGAAGGTACGGAGCTCTTAAGGGGACCATACGCGCATTCAGTACGGATAAGCGGCGTGAGGCTGCATAAACGCTTTGGTCGGTCAAGGTAAGGGAGGGTGATTGTTCAATCAGTGCACTAGATGGACTGAATGCGATCATTCGTAAGCTGGCACAAGTAATCTGAACCGTGGCCATAGCCGCCGTGTAACACCACTGTTATCCTGAATAGCAGGAGTTCGCTCTTTCCCTGCACTGCAATTCAAGTCAAATACAGTTTTGTTCGCTAAGAGTGATGAGGCGTGTTAAAAAGCATAAGGCCTGGCATAGTGTCCGATTGTTATTTTTCTTTTTTTGCGAGCGATAACGTACCGTTCATATTTCGCGACAGCAGCGGCCATCGCCGCGATCGTTGGTACACTCGAAATCACTGAGATGAGGTAGGCGTGGCTGCGTATTTGAACCAAACGTACTGGTGGCCGTGCTCTTGATAAGAGATTTTCCTTCTACCCCCAAATGTGGTCACGTCTTTTTCCAACAAAGAACAATATGGCGTTGTCTGAAATTTAAATATCTCACGAGTAACCAGTTCCGTGCCATGTCGAATGCCACGCCTACCCCGTCTCAGGGATAGATAGTATTCGTGACAGAGCGAGCCTCCTTTCACTTTTCTAGTGTCACACGTTCCTTCCAGTCCAGTGACCTCCTCCTTTTCGTGATACACAACGAATTTGAACCGATAGATAATATACCTGGTGAGTTACAGTTGAAAGGTCCAAGAGCACCACCTGATGAAACGCCGAGTACAACATATCGCCCATTCCTATGGAGCTGGAATAGTGGCCCACCGCTGTCTCCCTATAAATAGCTTGTCTTTCGAAAATCTGAGACTTCGGAAACTTTATGAGCAAGGTCAATTCATTCATAGAAAGAAGATTTGAAAATTTCGTTAACACGTTGACGACGATGGCAGACAATGGTGGCTGACAGCCAGTCTATCTCGTGGGACGATGGCAGGCAATGGTGTCTGCCAGTATAATTTCTAAGAATAAATAATAAATAAATGAATAAAGATTGATGAACAGCCAAATTTGTCGTAAAGGTGTCCTTGGGTGGAGGGGGAGCTTGTCCCTCTGAAAACACAGCTGCTCGGCATGAACTACCAACTAAGGGTAGTTTGACGCCGTGAACACGAATACCACAACTGCTTGCCACAAAAACCGCCTGGCGCTCGCGCCACGGGCACTGGCGCCAAAATGTCCTAGACCACCGAATTTCCTGAAACCCCTCCTCGTCCCTAGGGGGTAGTTCGACACCCTAAATAATAATATCATATCCACTATGCGTTGACGACGATTTCCATCAATGGTGGACGAAAGCCACTTTGTCTTGTGGGACGGCGTCACCCAATGCTGTCCGACAGTTATTACATAACTCAAAGTCTGCGCAACTGTTCCATTTTCTTTTCATAAAATTAGTTCAAGAACAAACATTCTGGGCTAAGGGGATGCAATTATGATCTTTAGGAGGTCAAACTACCCTGGCAGACATATTTTCATCCACATCTGCCTCCAGAGGAAGAATTCGGTAAAAAATGGCCTGGTTTTGGAAGATTGGAACAAAAAAGCTGAATTGTGTCAAAGATTCGAGACTCGTATACCCGTATCTTGCAGTTCTTGAAACATTTTGACCGCAGCCATTCATTTATCCAAAAACTACTAAGTTTCCACGAAGAAAAACGTGCCGTCCCTCCGGCATTTATAAAAAAAGGCTAGTTGTCAACGTGTTAAGGAGGTGAACTACAAAATACTGATGAGAAAACCTTGGGAAACTAAAAAAAAGAGCCTTCGACGTTAACCACTGATTAGTGCAGTGGAAAAATACAGGTATAGAACTGAATCAGGGTCAACGAGGGCATACTGTTTCAGCCCTTCACTTGTCTCGTCACTGATTTTTCCCATCGACGAACAGACAGGTCTGCACGGTAGCTAAGTTTCCCCGCATCCGTTTATGGAAGTAGAAATAAGGCCATTCTGGTCGTGCGGCTTTTTTGAGTAGAGTGTCTGTGGCGCAATCTGCTGCAGACGGAGACTGCAATGCTCACTGGAGTGTAGGATGGAGGCGTCCATAAGCAAACACGTTTTGTCGCCAGCTTATTTCCATCAATGGCTGTCTGCCTCACTGTAGCACTGACTGCGAGCAAGCGGCGCGGTGGCATCGTTTCTGAGCAGGAACGCCTCCACATGACACCAAATCGACTGTAAAAAAAATTCAGCTCTCAATTCTTCTCCAATCTGACTTTCATTCGATTTCAAGTGACGAAGGTGTCACCCTCATACAGAAGCGACCCTGATCTCTTTCTTATGGAAATATTGAACCTGGCCGCGCACAGCATGTCTCTGAAGATAGATACCTATGGTGATTCACACATATCTAACACAAACTCTGCTGGACCTTCTTTCTACTCCAAAGACATGATTATATGTGCTACTCAATCCGTAACGTAAAGGCACATATTGAATGAGGGTGAATGTGACTCACCCGGCATATAGAAGTGGTTTTGCCTTGTCCCAAAAGTACTTCACGGTGGTCTTCCTTGACAAGTGGAATTGTGGCAATTTTGTATCCGGGATCTTCCGACGTCACTTAACAGACTTGCTTTTCTTTTATGCCAATTACAGATTCACATGAATGTTCCAAATTTAAATTGAATTTGACAGAGCGAGCAAATTTTAGGAACAGGGGTGTCAGCCTTTCCATTCACCGTTCTGGTGGACTTTCCCAAAAAAAGTGTCTTAGTTAAGATACTGTTTCTTCCTCGGCTATTCTGGAAGAAACTAGATGTGAACTAAGCTCTTGCAGGCTGAAATGCCACGAACACATCTTGTTACGATCTGGATGCAGGCCAAAAAACACTTTTTTCTTCGACTTTCACGGCGATATAAGTCATATTATCGAATACTGATTGGACATTTCCACCTCTATATTCAACAGCATTTTGTATACTATCATGATATGTACTCCGCCACAGCCTTCTGCATGAGCGCCATCGAGAGATTCTGTCACGCGACCGTGATTCGGTGCCTGAATTCATCAAGACCGTTGATTTCTCCGCCACTGTAGACCACTCTGTTGAACTCCGCCCGAACCGATTAATTAAGTTGGTTTAGAACAAGTGACATACTCTGACATCCGTCTTCTTTAGGTACTCAAAGCCCGTCCATTCCAAGTAGGCAAGTGTTTTTCCAACGCCCTTCAATTCCATGTGGAGGCACCCAATCCTGTAAAGGACCGAAGTTTCCAAGAAGGTATAGGCGATGAAGTGAAGGGAGGGTATTCTCCTCGAGTTAGTCGTTGTAACCTCCAGCTTCTACTTCCAGTCCGGGGTCTAAGAAGAAAATATCGGCCTCCCCCTTCCAAGAATTTTTGGACCATACCGTCATCCATAGCCCTGACGACCACAGTGGTGATGATATCTTGAACCAGCGGCGTTGTCGGAGCAGCTCGATGTTGGAGGTACCCCAAATGCAGAATGCTGGTCCAGGTATGTTCATAGGTGACACCATACAACAGGATTCGCGGCTGTTTGGAGGTGATGCGAATTCCAAAGGCCTTCTCCAGTAAGGCTGCAATTGAAGATGGCTTCATGTTCTGGTGTACGTGAAGGTGATGGGCGGAGCCTGCTACTGCTCGTCAAGGAACATCTTGGGTATCTCCCGCCCTGGTACTCGTATCCACGTCTTCTGTCTGGGCTGCGAAAACTTTTCTGATATATGGCTTGGCAGAAGTGTCTTTTTTTTGCCCACCCTCCTGTACATGACTGAGCACAGACAAGGCACAGGTAATTCTACTGTGGACGGAGCGTTGTCTCGTGGCTTCCTGGATTCATTAAAGGAATTTCTTCCATTCCACTCGGAAAGAACACGCCGTGGACAAGAGCGAATCATTTGCTCAATGAAAACTAGTCTGGGTAGGTAGGATAAGATTGGCCGTCTCCCCTCCGAATTCAACGAGAAGTTTAGTGCCTCTCTCGTCTTGCCCATACCCCAGAATTCTTACGATAACTTCGGTTGTAAACTGCAGTGAAAGAAGAGTGTTGTTGAAAGATATGCCGAAAATTCTCATTGTCTTATATTGTAAGCTTACAACTTTCCCATCCACTTCCTGCGACCTGGAGTTCTTTTGGTAGCCCAAGTTTACTGTGTGGTAAGCAAATTGGGATGGCATCCTTTTTGCTAACTTCTTTACTGAGTTCGAGGATAGCAAGGTCGTGTTGTTTCAGCGGGAAATCATCCTCCTTCGCTTGCACGCACCGTTTGTATTTTTTGTCGACAGAAACCTGATGTAGAGAACAAAGTGGTACTGTGCAAAGCAGGCTTCGAACTCGTTCAAATAGATTTTTAGCAAATTCAAACCTTCGAGACTGCGTGCGTAGTATTACATTTTTCAGGAGGGTTGCAACGGGTTCCGACATATATGATGAAATCCTTCGGCTTGACTTCCGATGGCACGTAATTCTTTAGTTTTCCTATGCATTCTAAGTGGACCTTACGCTCGTCCTGGTTCGTCGCACAATGTGCGGCCGTTAATACGTGACGTGGGGAAATTAGGAATCCACTGCAAGGTTGTACATATTCTTCATCTGAAAACATTTTTCATTTGAGAGGAAAGCCCCTTCATTTCACATCACAATCGAACAAAAACGCTTACATTCTAGATTTTTGTGAATGCGTAGCTTGACCATCCAGGGGTACTCGCCTGGCTTTATGAGACGTCCTCCAAATATTTTGAATCTCGAGGAATTCCCTGAACGTACTTAGCTTAAGTTTCTTCCTCTCTTCACTCCCTTATAAAAATGTCCAGACTGCACAGAACTGTGAAGAGACCCACTTCCTTTGACGCACACCCTGATAACATATTCAAAATTCGAGATTTCTTTCCCTCTTCACCATTTATCATAGCTTCTTCCACTGCATAATACTGGGCTCTGTTTCGCATAGGGGGAGGAAGAGGGAAGAGAGACATTTTGTTTTGCTTTGTTGCTTTTGCTAGTTTGTTTGCTAATTACTCTTGTGACGCCCCTCACCTTGATAGTACCTGCGCACATTTGTCAAGTGCAAACGGCCATGCTATCGCACAGTGACAAGAGAAAAATTGGCCCGTCGATACAACCCCTCCCCCACAAAAAAAAGGATGGCCATACAACCCCTCCATACGGCCATTTGGCTAAGGCTGCGTTCATGCTTTGCGGCGTGTGTAGCCGCACCGCAGCACTAATACCGTACACTAAATTGGTTAAATTGCATAATGCAGTGGTTGAATGCAGAACGCTAAATGCAAAGCATGGATCTATCATTACCATCATCATTGCGATAAGCGTGAGACCATTTAGGATCTTTCCTAAGAATGAGCATATATTTTTTTAGCCGTATATTCGGCCAGAATCCGTTCATACGAATTACTAGAACTTCCCAAGAAAATAGAACAGTCCGCAACAGATCACCCTTGAAGAAGGACATGGTATCTGCAAAAGCAAGCAGTTTCATAGATCAATTAAATTCCGGCGCGACAATGTAAAAAAACATCCTATTCCAAAAACTAAACCACATGATTATGCAACTAACAATCTAGTGTATGGTATCAGTAGTGCGATGCGGCTACACACGCCGCAATTTCACAGCACGTCTAATCGAACTCCTCTTACTCGCCCACAGTATCTACTCCCCGCCTGCAAACGCTAGTGAAACGCGTGAAATGCTAGATCGATACCCGTACTTTCCTTGCGCTCGCTGCGCTAGCGTGCGTTGGCGTTACGCACTGGTGACGCCGGCATACACTAGATCGATATCTACCCTTTCCTTGCCACTGCCGCTGCCGAACGCTGGAAACGCTAGCGTGCGCTGCCGCAAAGTATGAACGCAGCCTAGACTTGGCTGATCTGTTTTTAAAATGCGGTTTTTTCAGCTCCGGCACATTTTAGCGCGCTCTCGCCCTACGCACTGTACTATGACGAGTTCTGAAAAATTGTGAGTTCCTTTAGAAAGAACATTTCGCATAACTGTGGATGCAGTTCATGATCATTCCGAGGTTCCAACAGAAAGTAACTGAAGTGCTCGCGAAGGGGGTGTTAGGGCTCCAATAGTAACGATGAAAATATAAGGCAGGAAAGTTCCGTCAGTGTTTTTTGAATAGCTTACGGCTTTTGATTCTTGATGGTAACATTGTATGCTTGTAGAACATTCAAGGAGCTTTCCCGCAAAATACATATAGGCACCTGGTCTTCCGCTGAGTTTAATTAGAAAAAACAATAAAACCAACCAGATGTCAGTCTTCACCAGGGATACGCAACCTCAAGCTCCATATCTTCTTCTAGCGGCGCCGCGGCACTGGAGCGACACCTGTTAAATGAATCAACCTGGTGTTTGGGGCAAGAGATTACTACGCATCAGGTGCTGTTCAACTTCATTCTCTATCGCGAGAGAAAGACGACTTCGACAATACTTCGCGTTAGGGAGCACTCTAACTAAGTGAAGACTCTAAACCCGTTCAGAGTTGTCAAGGCATCCTAGACTACCACCCGCGTCCGGCGATCAAAGGCGTCAGGTGACGTAAACAAAGTCTTGAAGTCGCTGTAAGCCCTGCTAATGAAAAGTACTTCGGCTGAAGTTCACTTGCATACCATGGACGGATTGACACCGCGCACTCGGAGTACCCTTGTTCAGTCTACCTCTTCACCGCCTCGTCAAGACGAGTTCACATGAGATGTGAATGTCTCTGTGATTCATCACACATGTGTCTCTCTAGCAGAAAAGGCCCATCGTGGACCGGGGTAGTGCATTCCGAGAATATTCCTCTCGTGCTTATCTGGGACGTGGGTAAGTGGCTGTGCAGCAACGATCCTGCCTTGTAAGATACACGTCCACTTTAGAGACCAAACACTCCCGTCACGATATTCATGTGCAGCGCTCGCGTTGAGGCTTACTCAGCGAAGAAAAATGTCATGCAAATTTTGATACACCGAGTCGGAGCTCCGCAGGCTCTACTCGAGAGACTCGCGGCTCCGGCAGTTCTGGAGGAGGGAAAGCTCACCTGTCAAAAGCTAGCAGCCTGTGTCTGCAACAGAGCCACAACAAGCAAAACGACGTTCGTGGAGGAAGGAAGACTGTTGTCTCTGACGCATTGATGACTCACAGAAAATGTCCATAACAAGATGGAGGCCCGTGCCGGAGTTTTTCTTTCGGCAGAGAAGCTACTTGTTTTGCGCTACGCGTTGCAACATCAAAGCCAATGGCTTGTCAGAATAACGTTTCGGAGCATCTAATGAAATAACCAGCTCCCCGGCGCGGCTGACGGTGAGAAGTTCATTCTGAGATAACGCGCTGCTCGCCAGGTTGGGACGCTCGCGCGCTTACTTCTCCACAACATCTTATCACCCACCTAAGTACCTGCGACTTCTTTTATCTGAACAGATGTCAACATGTCCCTTACCATACATCATACCTGCCTCATTTTACAACACTATTGTATGGAATGGTGGAAGGAGCCGGTCTGATCCATTATGGAAAGCGTGAGAGAACGCAGGTAGTTGTCGATTTAATTACACCGAAAGCCAGTAGCACGATTAAGTCTAACGCTCCCGCAATTGGACATGCCGTATCACAGAGGTGATCGGAGTGTCTTGGAACCCTTATACTGGCTTTCGCCAACCTCGCGGCCACTCCGCCACTACACGGCTGTGCTACCTACTTTCCCTTGTACTCCAATGAGTTCGGCAACCCATTTAAGCACATCCTTACCGTACCCCACAGCTCCGCCCTTATTCGCGTCGCAAGTCTGGCCTACTATGGAAGTGCCGCACAATGTGAACCGACTGACCTCAGCCGAACCTGATCTTAAAGCTACTCCTTTGACTCGTGTCTCGGAGTGCTTTGCGGCTCTAGTAACCATTTCACCTAACATTCTTTGATTTGATTCCGCTCCCGCCCACACGCGCGCCCCCACAGCCGTAATGATCCTCGCACTATCATCGCCTCCAGTCCCCTAGACACCATAAATTCACCTCTTTGCGTGTGGCTAGTGGCTTCTAAGAACAAACTGCGAGTTTTTGAACTGGTCAACTGTTGTGCTTGAAGCCGCCCCGCCTCCCAATGTGGGCAGGCCGTTAGCATCGCCAAACATGGTGTATCTTGTTGCGAGAATGTTTCTTCGTCATGAATTTTCTGCGATCCGAATTCTCGAGAGCGCGAGTTACCGGACGCTTTGAAATGAAGCACCACCTCACTCAAGTAACGCCCCCCCTTCGAGGGTGGCCCTCCATTTGCTATGTCAGACCAATGCTAACCTCATCCACTTTACCCCCTCCGAGCGTTTTTGTAGCAAATATGGATTCTTCTCAGTGACACAGATAAGCGCCAGCTCACTCCAGTAAGTCCATTTTCCATGCAGGTTGTGCCCCCGTTGATGACTCAGCCCTTCTTTAGTAATAGCCTGCACTGTTCCCCATCTCGTAGCTGCTCTGAATAGAGTTAATGGTTTTTCTGAGCCTTCCTTAAGCCGGGCACGCTCCACTGTGAGTTGGGCTACGCAATAATCACGGGTGCATAGTTAATAATGTCCCATGCCCATACCATCCCTACGCATGACTTACCGCCTCAAGTTCTTCTTTAGGTGCTATGATTGGTGGGCAAACAGACAGACCCACACACACCGCGCACGGAAATAACGATTTTATAAGTAGGAGGCATGGATCTGTGGAATTTGCATTCTATGTGAATCAAATTCTGCTACGAACTCAAATACTTAGCGCAAAATGCTGTTGCATAACTTAAAAGAGCCGTTCGAAGCTTCAAGCAGCTAGCAGGTAAAACCATCCCTATTTCATACCTAAAATCCCTTTCAGACCGCACGAATGTCCTACAGAACACGTCTTCTGCCTTAGGTAATGCCAGTTATGGCAGAGCACGATAGGCTTAGCCATTGGAGCACCGGAAGCGGCACACGACTCCGTCGCATCTTAGTGATCACTCCAGTCAGAAACGCTACGAGTGTGAAAACTCATTTGCTGTATTTTGCCATGTGAAAGCCCTAGAAAGCACTTTTTCTATGGATAGGTTTTTGACCTGCCACTCAGCTTCCGGCATTAACCGCTTATGGTCACTCCTGTTTCAGTTGCCGTAGACTACTGATTTCTTAAGAGAAGACACCCCGCTACAATTCCTCAAGCTTGAACCCTAGTTATGGTTTCTTGCGCTGTCGGTGAAAAGGTCGTCTTGCATTTCCTAGTTTTTGCCTAGTTACCCTCAATACATGTATATCTTACAACAATGTAGACTCTTGCAGATGAAAAGCTCTAATCCAACTGCATAGGCTTTGCAGTGTTCATGATGCCTCCACGGGGCAATCGGCAGTGATTGATGGACAGGAATGCGCCCATGTCAATGCTGCACGAAAATACTTATTTCTTCCCTCTCGCTTATTAAATACCATATGCTGTGGCAGCGAATAAGTGTCGGAAACAACACAAATGAGTTGAGTGCAGACAAGTCAGAGCGTTTGGCTATGGTTAGGCGAAGCTGACATTATGAAGCGACTGCCTACGGATATCTGAAACCGCGCCGTGTATCGCTGTCCACCAGCGCCTTCCGCGGTTATTTGAGCATGGCGTCCAACTGATCCTGTCACGAGATCGCGGTTGTCCATGGCACTCACCGTATAGTTTGACACAATTCAAAGCAAGGACCTCAT